AAAACTTTATTTTTATTAAGGTCTTTATTCATCGTGTTACGCTGTTTTTCTTCAGTGACAAAATGGAGGTGCTTATTTTAAAGTATTTATTTCCAAATATTTTTCACAGATAATTTTAAACATGCAAAGATTTCTTTAGGAAATGCAGCAAAAATTAAATGTCAAATAACAATGTGAAATCGCGAAAAAAAACCCAACAAAAACAATAATAATGTCCAATTTGCCGACGTGATAAGAACACGAAAAACCACAATTCATCCGCCCTCTTGCATAATGCGATTAAAAAAAAAACTGAGGTCTAACGTCGCAAAATGTCTTTGTATTAGTTTCACTGTTTCAAAAATGCAAAAACATGCAAATAGTGTCTATGTCAATTCCCTTTTATAATCACACTAACAAAACAAACTCTTTATCAAAGTGATAACGTTGAGTTTCATAACTATTTTTCTTTCAACAAGAATATCTAGACCATTTTATCTTATACAGTCACTGTTTTTGCTTTTGTATTCTTTTCAACTTTATTTAGGATCACATGAAAACAGCAGTTAGAAAATGTCGCCAGTTAAAAGCTTATTCTATATATTAGATTTATATACAATATTTGTACATATTAGTTGAAACCTTGACCAGATTCCATAGAATTAGGATGTATTTCTCACAAATCACAGACTAGTTCCATAATGCTAAATAAATCTGTTGCTCTGATAACTTGTTGAGTCAAAGGTTTTGGCATTTTAGTTCAAACAACGAGAAATCTTTCTTAGATAAAGTAATGTTACATCATTGAAAATTCTCCTTTGTACAGACATTTTGTGTTTAACATTAATAAACAACTTTATAACGGGTGTGATGCTAAATGATTTTAAGTACATTTTTGTGAAACGCAAAAGAACACCTTAAAGATTATAATTCAGAATAAAAATTCATAAGTTTTTAAAAACTGTCGACTAACGTTGCAAAAAGACTTTACTTTCAGAATATTGTCTATGTCAAAAAAATCTGATTATTCATTTAAAAAATGGAAAAACACTTTAAAAAGTTATATGGTAATTCTCTTTTAATAATCACACCAACAAAATAATCTCTTTATCAAAGTGATAATGTTGAATGTCTTAACTATTTTTCTTTCAACGAGAATATCTAATACAGTTATAGCGGACCGTGGGGTGAAGATGTGAAGAACACATGTGGGTAGAATTTCCTGCTAGCCGGTCCAACTACATGAGAAAGTTGAACTTTAATTAGGTCCAAAGAAAAACAAACACAAGACGGATAAATATATGTAAACAAATATATGTATTAATAACAAGTTAAAGGTAACAAGCACAGTTACATGGACAGAGTGTGTGTGCTGAATATTATGTGTGTGTGTTGTGATGAGTGTTCGGACGTACGTGTATTGTTCTTAGCGTGTTCCCAGAATTTGGGAAACGCTGTATCTGTGAGTGTTCAAGGTCTGAGGAAAAAAGAGATTGTGGTGAAGGGTCAGCCAGTATTTATAGCCAGGGGAGAAATACTCCTGGTGAAGGATTAAGGAACTAAAGGAGGAGCTAACTCCGACACAGTCACTGTTTTTTGTTTTGTTTTAACTTTATTTAAAACCACATTAAAACAGCAGTTAGAAAATGTTACTAGTTAAAGAGTTCTATTTAATTAAGATGTGAAAGTTTATATAAACTTTTTGTACATATCAGTCGAAACTTTCTTGGACAGATTCTACAGACTTTGGATTTATTCTTTACAAATTAGGGACTAGTTCCATAATGCTTATAAATAATTCAGAATAAAAATGCATAATTCAATATTTTTAAAGACTGGGGCCTGACTTCACAAAACGTTTTTGTATCAGTATATTGTCTGTGTCATCTTAAAGAGATCAGTTGGCTCATTTCAAAAATGAAGAAAGAAATACAAAAGGGACGTGTATATCAACTTACGCCCTTTTAGAATAAATCACCGACTAGTTATTTAATCGAAGACATTAGCTCATTCTGACAGGAAAATGGATGGCAGAACATAGACTGAGAGGGATGGTAAGCAGACAGGAATTGCTCAGAGCGTCAAAGGAAAAGATGTAGAGAAGCATAATCATCCATATTTGGAAGGTACACGGAGCAGAAAGGAAGAATAATGGTGAAGTTAACCGTTTCCATACAAGAAACATTCAGCATTCAATTAAAGAGTTAAAGCTATTATAATTTGAAATTTATAAAAACTTTTTCTGAAGACAGTTTTACAGGAAGTTAGACTTCTCAAGTCTCCTAATTGTTATTACTCTTTCTCGTATCGATGGAAGTTTCCTTCCAAACTTTGTGTGTTTGGCATATGGAATATTAATATTTTATGTTATTATTTTATCTTTTAGTTACATGAGCTTTCCATTTTTGTTGCTGTTGAAAGTCTTCTAGGGATGTGATATGTGTTATTCGGTAAAGCGGAAGTTCGATGATTGGTCGACAAGCTTATTTTACGTGTAATTAAAATACGTAATAATGACTTT